CGGCGCCCCAACTCCCCAATCGGCCCTGCTCCTAGCCCAACCAGGGGCTGCACCTAGGGATTGGGCCTGCCCTCTGCCACCCGGGAGCGGGCCTAAGCCAGCAGGTCATTATCTCCCGAGGGGTCCCAGACTGCAAGAGGGCACAGGCCGGGCTGAGGGACCCCCTCTCCCCACCGAGTGCACAAATTTTTGTGCACCGGGCCTCTAGTATTATATATATATGTTCCAAATATAGGAAACAGAATTATTAAATGTGCATGTGACAAACTCTTGAAAAACATTGTTGACAAGATTAATGAAGGTACCAATTTTCAAATTTTACAAAGTTATTTACTGTACTGAATGCATCAGAATAAAATGGGTTCCCTGACCATGAAGTCAGGATGGGCAGGATGGCTGTCTGATTTGGTGACAGCTCATGTGAAAAGACTTGGGGCCACCTGCGGGCAAAGCACAATATTAGAAGTTACTCAGACTTTGGTGTGGGCTCAGCTTGCTCTTACTACTCGTTGCATGATGTTGAGCAAGTTGCTTAACCATTTTGAACTTCAATTTCCTCTCTTTAAATGTGAATACTAATCAATAGCAAACAAATTGAATTTAGGGAAGCATGATAATTTTGTGACATTAACTTTTTAAAAAGTTTGTCTTTATTGTTGAAAATATTACAGATGTCCCCCTTTTCCCACATTGACTCCCCCGCCCCCGCCCCTTCCCCACCGGGCCTTCACCACACTATTGTCTGTATCCATGGGTTATGAGTATATGCATACAATTTCTTTGGTTAATCTCTCCCTGCCCCCTGCCCCACCCCACCTTCCCTCTGAGACTCTAGTCTGTTCCATGCTTCTATATCTCTGGATCTATTTTGTTTATCAGTTTATTTTGTTCTTTAGATATTCGTTTTCTCCTGGGGAGAGTATAGGAATTGGATTAAGACAGAATGAGAGGTTGAAACAGAGATTGGGTTGAATTATTTACAAATTAAGATGTATGTCTTGAACAACTTGATTTGTAGAATAAAATTTATACACTCCTGGCACATAGTAGAAGATCAATATAACAAAAGCTACATCTATTCCTACTGTAAATATTTTATGTGGCTATTTGAAAGGTCAGTATTAACTTTTATTTACACAAGAGTAATATCCAGTTTAAGAAAGGTAAGGATCCCACTGTTACCAAGGTGTGGAATCCACTTTGAGGATGTTGTTAAGAGGGCTGGTATTGGGTCACGGGTGGATAGGGAAGGGTGAATCACATGTGTAGGGAGGAGCCAGGCACTGAACAGTTAAAATAACAAGGGCTGTGAAAACTGAAAAAGGAAAGGCTGAGAAGAGAGATGACTGCTGTCTTCAGATATTTGAAAGGCTTTTTTGTGGAAGATAGAATGTCCTTGTTCTGAATGGAAGTTGAGGACATGAATGTCTGATTCAATCAACAGAAAGGAAGTTTCTCATAGTTGAGTGTTCATCAATGTTAAGGATTCAAACAGATGATGTTCAATATTCACTTTGTCCGGAATGTTGTCAGGGGATTCCTGTAGGCAGAGGAATGTGGTCCTGGCTCTTTCGGTTTTAGAATGATATGCGGGGCAGGAGAAGGCAAACAATATTGCCAAGTTCCAGGAAACATGCTGGGTGCTCTGTACCATTAGCTCATTGAATCTGCCTGTTGGCCTATGAGTTGAACCTTATAATATTTTTATAAATTAGATTACATAGTTGACATAGTAAAATGCCAGAGTTCACAGTGCTGGTTGATTTTTGAACACAGGATGTTGCATTAAAGGACCATGTAGTTTTCTTTACATGTTCCACTTCCCTAATATACTACGTCAAAGAAAAAAACAAAAGTATCAAAGTACATAGAGATTACTAATGTACTGACCAATGACAGCAATGACCCTTTGAACTATTTTAGCTATGATTCATGGAATTGTATAGAAATATCAGTAAATTCATGAACATTTAACATATAATAGCACAGGTAAGTATACTATTCATCTTTTAGATAGACATATTACGGTGATGGCTAATTTTATGTGTCCACTTGGCTGGGCCAGTGTCCAAATATTTGGTCAAACATTATTTTGGATGTCGCCAAAGAAGTGTTTCTGAATGAGATTAACATTTAAATTGGTGGACTTTGAATGAAGCAGATTGCTTCCCATTATGTGGCTTAGCCTCATTCAATCAATTGAAGGCCAAAATAGAGCAAAGATTGACTGCCTGCAAGCAAGAAGGAATTCTGCCAGCAGACTGCCTTTGGACTTGGCCTTCAACTCTTCCCTGAGTCTCCAGACTGCTGGCCTCCTCTGCAGATTTGGATTTGCATCTCCGCAATCATGTGAGCTGATTCCTCAAAGGGTTCTCTCTACATACGTATACACATCCTGTTGGCTCTATTTCTTTGGTGAACCCTGAGTAATACAGTTTGCCATTGCTTGTCCTTATGTGTCCTGGTTTCTTCTTACCTTAAAATTCTGTGTGGATCAACTACATGAATGAACTTGGAAGCAGATGACTCCCCAGTCAAGCTTTCAGATAAGACCTCAGCATTAGCTAATACCTTCTTTGCAGTCTTGTGAGAGACAGTGCACTAAGCTGTGCTCAGATCCCTAAACCTAAGAACTGTGAAATAATGTTTTTGCTTTAAAAAAAAGTCCATGTGTGGAACTTAAATCTCCTTGAGACAATCTGGTGTAATAGACACTGGTGTGAAGTGCAAGTTTGTAGGTGATTTGTGCAGATCTCACATCTCTGAGTCTCATTTCCCTTTCTGTAATATGAGAGGACCTTCAGTTTCCCTTAAGTGCTACAATTCAATGTCTCTATTAATCATACTGTTTATTTGTCAAAATAAATGCTGATAAAAGTCACAAGAAGAACACACCCTGGATTTCCAAGCCTCTGGATGTGGTGGCATTGCTCCAGCTTCCTTTCTGCACAGAGCTGTGCTCAAGTGCCGCTCTACCCCTTTTGTTCCACCCAACAGTTCTCTATCACTAGCCTATCGACGTTAAGTAATTTTGGGCACTTTTGTGTGTGGCCTGTGCATGTATGTGTGTACCTGTGCGCATGTTCACCGTTCAAGCTGGGCTGCTCTGGCTCTGAACATATATACATTTCTGGTTCATAGTTATGTCTCTAGCATTTTGTGGATTAACTCTGCCAGTACACAAGGGGAAGGGAACGTCTTCCCAAGTGTGGCAAGTGTGAATCCTTTTTCTCTCTTCTCATCTTCAGGAAGGTCCAGATCCCTTTGCCAAGCAGATGGGTTTAGGGGAGCACTAGAGTCCAGGCGGTGGACTTTCTCCAATGAGTAACTAGATTTGCATTTGCAAATCAAAGGTCCTGGAAAAAATGTTATATAAACATCTTCCCAGCCCCTCGTTAATACCCCTTCTCCTTCTCCTTCCCCTTCCCCTTCCTGATTTTGAAAGAAAGCATGACTTATTCAGCCTTATCCCCAACCCCCAGTAAAACAGCAGTGTGTGTGCACTCAGGCAGCAGGGTTCCAGGCCAAATTGTGGACCAGGCAGTTTGTCACTAGTCCTGCCAAGTTTGGCTTTCCCACTCTCAGACCCTTGAGGCTGTTTCCACATGACAGCAATGTACCCCCCCCCCCCAAGTTCTTTCTACAAGGGATTTGAATAATTCAAATCAAGGGCAATGGCAAAGGTTTAAAGCTTTACCAGTCCCTAAGGGTATTCAGATGCATTTAAACAGAAGACAAAATTCTAAGCTAAAAGTATGAAACCTCTGAGCCACTACATAGAGGCGTCAACAAATCAGTGAGCCTATTTCTGTGGTGTGTGCAGTGGTGGTGGTGGGCACAGGTATACTGAAATGTCTGCCTGCTAAGCCACTTCTTAAAGCTGGTCTTCATTCTTGGTTGGAGAGGGGTGTGTTGGGGTACTCAACCCCTCTGTCCCCCTATCCCCTCAGAGACCAAGAGATGTGATGATGGTCTAGTGTGGCTGAGTGTGCTCTGAAGACAGATGGACTCTCCACTTCTGAAGGAGAGGGGAGAGAGAGGAAAGGCCAGAGGAGAGAGGAGAGGAGAGGAGGGGAAGGAGAGGAGAGAAAAAGAAAGGGGAAGAGCAGAAAAGGAAGGGTCAAAATAGTAAAAGAGAAGCTGGGCAGTGGCCTGGGGCTAGGCGGAGAGGTCCCCAGGGCTGACTTGTGTGGGCTGGGCGCAGCACCCCCGGGGCAGGGAGGAGATGCCCGCATCGCCGCCTGCACTCCGAGCTTCTCAGTTCTTGCAAGGAGGGTCTCCTGGATTCAGGGCTCCCTGCTTTCGGGTGACCACCGGTCC